ATAGGCCTTTGAAAAGCACAAATTTTAAGATAAAATTAGGACAATATGTAAAGATAAATGAATAAGATAAAGGAAAAATCAGATAAAGACAAAACATAATTGCATAGTTAAGTGTTACAGGTACAATAAAGATGTATCTTAGCACAAATTATAAACATCAGAAACTGTTTTTGGAAGAAATTACTGTTTAAGCTGATACTGAAAGATAAACTGGTGTTAATAGGGTAAAAGGAGGATTGGAGGTAAAAATTGTCCCAGGAAGAGGAAAGGCCTGCATGGAGGTCTGGAGGAAACAACAGGTTACACTTAAGGCACTGAAAAGATTAAGTGGGCTGAGACCAAGGGCCAGTTCTTTCTGAGTTCATAGTATATAGGTTTTGTGGGGCTTTTTTTGTTTTGTTTTTTTTAAACCTAATGTGTTTTCTTTCTAACGTGTTTTGTTATTGCTGTTTTCTTTCATACAAAACAAAGTCATATATCTAAGAAGTCAAATGACTTCATAGAGTCATTTTGAATTCTATGGTAAAAAAGAGAGAGAGAATGGAAACTTTAAACAGATGAATATTAGAAGCTTTCCGTTTTGGTATAAATTGTTTCTGTAGTGCAAAAAGTTGAGAAGCATCTAAAAACATTTATCTGTAAAGATGTATATACCCCTATGTTCATTGCAGAATTATTTATGGTGACCAAAATATGGAAACAACCAAACAACACAAGTGTCCTTTGGTAGGCAATTGGATAAAGAAGATGTGGTACATATATACAATGGAATATTACTCAGCCATAAGACAAGGTGAAATGCTGCCATTTGTGACAACATGGATGGATCTTGAGATTATCTTGCTAAGCAGAATAAATCAGACAGAAAAAATTGAGAACCATATGACTTCACTCATATGTGGCATATAAAACTGAAAGCAACAAATGAACAAAACAAACAAAGAAATAAAAACTCATAGGCACAAACACCAGTTTAGAGGTTACCAGAGAATATGGGGTGGGGGGTGGTAAAAGAGGGAAAAGAGGGTGATGGAAGAGCTGACTCTCAATGGTGAACACACAATGCAATATATCGATGATGTATTATAGAAATGTACACTTGAAACCTATATAATTTTACTACTCCATGTCACCCCAATAAATTTCATAAAAATGTTAAAAGTTGACAACACATGTTTTTCAAAATCAACTTTGGCAAATATGGCTAAACATGCAGAAAATATATTAATATATATATGCAGTATAATATAAATATAAGTTAAATCTTGGCCTCATATCTTATACTTTAAATACATATATAATTTAATATAAAAATGAAATTAATGAAAACTGGAAATTTAAAAATACTTGATTAGGAATGGTTATATCTGTCAATGTCTAAAGTGAATACAAATATTTACAGGAAAAGTGATAGATTATAAGACACTTTATTATCTCTTTTAAAAAACTTCCTAGAAAATGTTGATGCAATTGAATGTAACCAGTTTATGGACCATGGTCTTCAGATTAAAAACTTCTGCTCTATATTTAACCAATGTTTCAAGTTATTTCCCCAAATTTTCATCTAAAAGGAGAAGATTTATACTGAGACCCATGCATAATTTTGGAATATGCTTTGATTTAAATTTTATCAAAATAATTTTATGTGTATTGTACTGGCTTTTAACAAAACCAACCTTTTTTATTTAAATGAAAGTTGTTTGTCTATGTAATCAGTTTGGAAGTCTCTGTACTCTTTTTTAGTAATATTGCTAATGCAAAAAGATAAACAACACAACAGAACCACAAAGTTAATACATTAAAATTTAATTTAGTTTTATATAAGAAACTTCTGGAAATATATATATCAGGGTTTAGGCTTTAATAGCATTTACTTTTGAGGAGTTAGATGAGAGGTGAGTTTGTGGGGGTAGTGTAACTTTATTTTCTACTTTATATCATTTCCCACAAAAGAGTTGAAATACAGAAGATTTTTCTTCAATAAAAGAAAGGAAAGGTAAAAAATTCAATTTCTGTCCATGATAAAATAACATTTGAGAACAAATACTACCTTGGAAAAATGTTTGCATACTATGCCAGAAAATGGGTTTATATTTTAGTTTTGAAAATGCATAGCAAGCAATAAAACATGAACTGCCACCTCTACTTAAGATGGATAAGCGGGTAAAAGAATAATCAAAGTATAAGAACAACAATTGACCAAAACCACTTGAAAAAAAATGTTTATTATAATCACTACAGGTGAAGCTAATTTTAATTCAAGCTACAATACCAAAAAGATAGTATCTGGTTGGGGAAGGGAGAGTACATAATAATGTGCTCATAGTGAGACAACCAGTTAACTGTGTATGGAAGTGAAAATCAACACAAATATTATGGAGATAATTTTTTCAACTTTATCAACCTAATGAAAATTGCCCATGCCTTTTGAGCCCCAAAATTTCAATTCTATTTCTAATTATCTTAAGAGAAAAAATCAGTAATGCAAACAGAGTGGTATCCACAGAAGAATAATTTTTGATAGAAAAAAATTAGGAACAATTTAAATATTCAAAAATAATGAAATGCTTAATTAAATTTGGTATTGCTATTGAGTAGAAAGAAGTTTTAACTATTGAAAATCTTGATTTCAAGGTATACAGAATAACATGAGAAAATGTTCACAAAATAACACTAGGCAGAGAACAAAACAGTGTACAAAATCTATATAATCTGAAATTTATTGCAAAAACAGAATATCATACATAACAATTATAAAATAAACAAAGTACAGAACATTTTTTAGTGTGGTTATTCCTCTGTTATGGAATTACAAGTAATTTTGCAACTTTTTATATACATTTCTATAGTTTTCAGATTTTCTACATTAAGGATATATTTCTTTTGTTATTAAAGAAAAAATAATTAATCATGTTCATTTCCAGGCTTCTTTAGTCACATTTCTCACTTTGGAAAAGGCATTAGACTTTAATGTGTTTTTTGAGGGGGTGTTTTTGGTTGTTGTGTTGTTCCTTTTTCTACTCAAAAGCTTCTAAATACAGATCTATTACCACCAGGCCCAAAGTTCATTCTCTTTCAATGAGAATCCCTCTGAGACATCTCATTGTGGAGACTTAATCAGACTGGGACTTCTTGCTGGAGATTCTCCAGGGAAACTAAAACTCCTATGTAAGAAGATGCCATCCGGATTTTGAAGAACTCCTAAAGATTCTCAGCCATGAATAGGAATTTGATTGTGCCTAACACTGAGGTGAGTATGGGCAATTCTCAATATTTTAAGAAAAGTAAAGACATGGCTGGCTAAGAATACAATGGCCTGGGATATGGAGACAGTTCATGAAAAGCAGTATTAGCAGGAAGCAGTGTATTTCTCTTTCTCTTTCACTTCTCAAGAGGTTATGGCTCCTAGTCTTTCTGGGCGGCTTCCACTAGACTTAGTCTCGTTTTCCACTCATCCCATTCATTGCATCATGGTGTACACAAAATAATAATGCAAATTGAAGGTTTTAATCTTTAAGTTTCTGTGGTCTAGTACTATGAAATGATGGTTTCTTCATATGGTGACATTTCTGAAGAGGTTTGGGAGAACTCTCTCACAGGAACAGATCATTTACATGAGATGCAGTCAGCTTAGAAACCAGAAACCCTGAGCCTCTGAAACTTGTATTCCTTCGTATCTTCTTTTTTCTGTGGTAAAATCTATGTACTCTGTTCAGAAGAAGTGGACATACAGTGACTTCCAGATTTTTTATGTGACAGGATCTATGCCTTGTGGCTTTACAGCCATGTAATACATATCATCACACTGCAATTTATCTATTTAGTTCTGCTAGATGGTGGGGGTTTTTGACATTGACTTTGTCGTGTGGGAACTCTCAGGTCTACTCCAGAACTCAAGGACCACTTGACTTTTTCAATTAAAAGAGATATTTAACCATTTGGGAACTTCAACTTTCCTGAAACATCCTTGAATCTGTAAATTCCTTGAAATATCATTCAATTCTTTCTACTGTCTCTACAAGAAATAGTAATCCAAAGATGTGGTATTATCTTTTGTACTGATTACCTGTCCAATTATAAGAAGTATTATTTAAATTAAAGCAGGATAGATCATCGGTAATCCTTAGAACTTCAAGGGCTTCCTGAGTAAATCTTGTACTGAAAATGGATAGAGAACTAAAACCAACAGCAACAAAAAAACCATGGCAAGACAGAGAAGCCAAAGGAAAGAATGCTGTTCTGATTGGATTCAAATCTTTAATAAGATTTCTACTACAATTTCATAAAACTTGCTAATAATTTAGAAGTATAAATACTTTTTTTTATTAAGAACTTCCTTTGAAATTTGACATCAAACAGAGTTTGAGTACCAAACATATCAAATCCTTACTAATCAAAAATTCATTCATTCACATGTATTCCATTGGGTATCTAAAATGTATTATCTTAACAAGATATATGGAACATTACTAGAAATTTTTACATAAGTTATTAACTTTCTTTATAATCTTCAAGGCAGGATAAACATCCTGATAAGGACTAGTCAGATTAGGGTGATCTTCTAAATGTAACCATGATTTTAGTGACAAGACTCAGGTACAATTAGCATGGAAAGAATATGAGAGGAGAGACTAGAAATGGCTTATTGGAAGGAAGAAGACAATAACAGCATAGTTCAGAGCTTTTTATCAGCACGTGGAGTGCAAAAATTGTGCTAAGACGTGTAGAAAGGGAGGATAGTTGCTTAGACAAAGTATGCAATGAGAGTAGGGTAAGATTGTACTGTTTAATTATTTGTAAATACCATAGATCAAAGACTTTCTTGCTAGAGCTGGAGGGAAAAAAAAAACCCTATCTTACTTATCATAACAAGGTGAATGTTCATGCATTTGCGGGTATTGTTGTCCAAACCAGTCCCTCTTCTCTGATCTCTAACCCTACCTCACTCTCTCTCTCTCCTATGCAGAAAGAAATTGTTGATAAAGAAAGTAAAATGCCCACCTCCTTTCAGCCATTATGTCTGGAGCCAACAGCTCCAGCCTGACTCCAGAATTCTTTATCTTGAATGGTGTTCCTGGGCTGGAAGCCGCGCATGTCTGGATCTCCCTGCCATTCTGCTTCATGTACATCGTTGCTGTCGTGGGGAACTGTGGGCTCATCTACCTCATCAGCCATGAGGAGGCTCTGCATCGACCCATGTACTACTTCCTGGCCCTGCTCTCCTTCACAGATGTCACCCTCTGCACAACCACTGTACCCAACATGCTGCGTATATTCTGGTTCAACCTTAAGAAGATTGACTTTAATGCCTGCCTGGCCCAGATGTTTTTTGTCCACATGCTGACTGGGATGGAGTCAGGGGTGCTCATGCTCATGGCCCTGGACCGTTATGTGGCCATCTGCTATCCATTGCGCTATTCCACCATTCTCACCAACGCTGTCATTGCCAAGGCCGGTCTCATCACCTTCCTGAGGGGTGTGATGCTCGTCATCCCATTCACTTTTCTCACCAAGCGCCTGCCTTATTGTCGGGGCAACTTTATTTCCCATACCTACTGTGACCACATGTCTGTGGCCAAGGCGTCCTGTGGCAATTTCAAGATCAATGCAATTTATGGTCTGGTGGTTGCTCTCCTTATTGGTATGTTTGACATCTGCTGTATTTCCATGTCTTACACTATGATATTGCGAGCTGTCATGAGCCTGTCGTCCTCAGATGCTCGTTACAAAGCCTTTAGCACCTGTACATCTCATATCTGCGCCATTGTGATCACCTATGTCCCGGCTTTTTTCACTTTTTTCACCCATCGTTTTGGAGGACACAATGTCCCTCACCACATCCACATCATTGTGGCTAACCTGTATCTGCTACTGCCCCCTACAATGAACCCAATTGTTTATGGAGTCAAGACCAAACAGATTCGGGAAGGTGTGGTCAAATTTTTACTTGGAGACAAGATTGTCTTTACTCAAGACAAATAAATCATAAAATAGACAGACATGTTGCTGGGGTTTGGGGATAAAAAAAAAAGTGGAGGAGAAATTTGTAAAACATGTAAGTAAAATGGTATTAAAAACATGAGTCCTCTAATGTATAGATTTTTCTGAAGCATTTGCAAGTATGTATTATGAAATGTTTCTTTTGTGTAAAAATATTCCAAAGAAAATGTAGAATAAAGAAGTAGCATATCTATTCCTCATAGATTTTGTTTTACATAAGGGTTTATAGACCCATATATCTAGGGACAACAAACAGGTAACAAAATGAGGGTTGCAGGCCTGGTTTCAGTGGATGGATGCATTGTGTGTAAGAAGAGGAGGCTGTGGTGATGTGGGCAAGCGTATCCTCTCCACAAAGAACAAATTCTACTCAATTCAAGCATTCAAGCACACTGTTACCATGGGCCTACTGTTGCAAAATTTTTAAATATCATCTAAGACAAGCTAGACTTCGATATTCTGTAAAATCTCCTAGTTTTAATTACTGGATAAGTGTGGTTTGTTTTTTTGTTCGTTTGTTTGTTTTTAAAATATGTTTCATTCAAGACATGCTTAAGAGTTATATTTTTCCCATTTCATCAGTTTGGGGCTTCCATTTAAAATGCCCCTAAAAGATATAATTGTGATGTTACTTTCACTGGGGAATGACACTGAACCTAAGTTCTCATCTTCTTAAAGGAAAGACCTCAATCAAGAGACAGAATCTTGTGCAGCATGAACAGCAGAAGTTTACTAGTAAAAGAGAGTATACTCAGAGACATGGAACGGCTGACCCAAGAGAGGGAAGCAGGCTTGCCTTACAGTGCATGAAGGCTTTTATTTTTATGGGTAGAATTGCCTCCCCCTTTTCCTTCTCTTATCTCTCTTTCTCCCCCTGAGGCACCTAGTCCTCTGGCATTTAGCAATGCATTTCTTTGATTTAGGGGCATGTGTCAACACATCCCTTAGAGGTATGTGTAAGCCTGGAATCCTGCTGGGCAGCTGCAAGGGGACTTGACCCAAGTAGGAGCTGCAGCAAGGGGCTTTCTAACTGGGGCTAAATTTCTCCTTCTCCTGCTCATTTCTATCTATTGTTACCAGTCAAGCAGGCAAAAGTATTGATTAAATTATTCGTATGTGTTACAATTCATTCACTCATTCATTCATTTTTTTGAGATATTTACTTAGGTCATGTTATTTGTCAGACCTTGGGTTTAATGAGAGAGAGGGGCAGACTTGAATATGATACAGTCCCTGGTTTCAGGGAGCTAAGTATCTATGGCCAGGGATGTACAAAAGGAAACATAAATGAAAGAAAGAGGAGAGATGATAAAAATGGATGCAGTATGGAGGGAGCAAAAAAAAAAAAAAAAGGAATAAGCATTGTTAAGAGAGTCACCTAAAACAGTGAGGTGACTATTTAGGGAAGTGGGGCCTATGCATATCTTGTACCTCAGTTCTCAGAACTGCTATTAAATTGTTAAACCTTGTTGTTAAGCTCAGCTCAAGGCCAAATCATAAACACCCTGGAGCCATAAACATCCTGAAACAACTGCTACATGGACATACATGGATTTTACTTCCTTCCTTGTGCTTTTCACCTCCCTCATTTGCATATTGGAACTAACCAATCCTGGTAATTTAGCCAGTAATTCCTCATTTGCATGAAAGAATTTCATTTTGTGGTTTTGCCTTTATAAATCCTGCTTTGTATTGTTCTTTCCAAGGTGCAGTTTGAGTTGTTACTTCAATTTACATCTCTCGGATTCGAATCTTTTAAGACCCCAAATAAACATTTAATTTGATTTACAGCTTTAGATCTTTTTTGGCTAACACACACTATCAATATTTTTCATGTAAATAAGTATACTCATAACTTATAATATTTGTTTTAGATAGTGATCACATATTTTGTTTTGTAGGGGAAGAAAATTTTTCCTGATCCCTCTCAGTGGCTGGATCTGAAAATTAAACTGACAAAAACAGATTAACAGAAGGAAAAAATACAAATTTTATTGAATTTTTACATGTACATGGGAACCTTCACAACAGAATAAAAACCTGAATTAGTGACTAGAGCAGGAAGCTTTTATACTTGTTAGACAAAAAAACAATAAATTTTTGAAGAACTGACAAACAAAGAAGTTTGAGTCTGGAGAGGAAATGGTGAAGAAGTAACTAAGAAGGTAACAGTTCAACAAGGTCCTGTTTAGAGATTCCGCTAGTGCCATTGCTGGACTGATAAGAGTCTGTGTTCAGTAAAAGGAGAATTTCTTTCCTGCCTGTAGGCAAAAAAGGGGGAGCTTTTTCTGTACTTATTGCTTCTTAATTGCTTTCAGCTCAAATAGTTTTTAAGTCAGAGTCACATTTCAGGGTGACATACCCTGATTTCCTTCTGTTTCATATATATTGGTCATATATGCACAAAATTCCATATTCTAAATTACCACACTCTATATAGTGCTATAAAATGTCCCACAGCCCAATATTCCTCTCTGGAGACAACCATCATCATCAAGTTTTACATGTTCTTCCAGATTCTTCCACGATTATAGGCTTTTAAAATCTAAATGGTAGCATACTCAACACTGAATTCTTTTCCATTTAACAATGTATCTTGTTATTCCTATATCCCATAACTCTACATATAGAACTTCTTTCATCTTTGTATAATAATTTTCCTCTTTTACATTTGGAGTTTATCTAAGCAATGTTGGGGTGCATAAGCTTCATAAACCTCATTTTGTCCATTGCAAAGCTTAAAATTATTTCTAGAAGGAATTGCTGAGTCAGAGAGCATTGTTCCTTTATTCAGAGAAGTGATATTACCAATTTGTACCCCAAAGAGTAAAACACAAGATCAACATTTCCCCTACATCTATGGAATAATGTTTTAATACCTTTTCAAATGTTTTACCATTTGAAGAGGTAAAACAGTATATCTTTGTAATTTACATGTTGTCTGGTTTTGAATTACATTAACTATATCTCTATATGCTCATAATTGATTGTTTTCTATTCACTACCAATTTATATCCTTGGCTGATGTTTCTTAAACATTTAACAATGATTTGTTAAAGCTCTTTACTTATTTAGGTATTTATTCCCTTGCCCATGAGATGAGTCATACCCTTCCATGCCCTCCAGTCTCTCTCTTGGCATTGTTTATGGCTATTTTTGTCATAAGAAATTTTTTTAAGAGTCAAATATATCAATCTTTCCTTTAATGACTACTAAGTTTTCTCTCAAGATTATGATGATTTTTGCTCATCTGAGATGATTAGAACAAAAATATTCTCCCATATTTTCTTCTCATTGGTTTTTTTTCATTTTTATCTTCATTTTTAAAAATAAGTGAATTATAACACATGTGCAAAACAGTGCACACAATTCAATAAACTATCAACATTCATGTAACCACAACATAGGTCAAGAAGTAGAACATTGCCATCCCCCAGAAGCTACTGTCATGGCTATTCTACTTATTACCTTTTCTATCACTCCACTTATAGTAATCACCATCTTAACTTTTATCGCCAATACAGCCTTGCTTTTCTCTGTATACTTATCATGTATCCTTAAATGTTATAATTTCGCTTTATATGCTCTGTTATCTTTTCTTATGTAAATGGAACCTTTGGTATACATTCTTTTGTGTCTGGCTTCTGTTGCTCAATATAAGAGCAATTCATGTTGCTGCACATATCTATGGTTCAATCATGTTTATTGCTGCATAGCAATCCATTATGTGAATATCCTACACTGTTTTTTAATTCTCTCTATCATTAATGGGCATTCAGTTTCCTCCTAGGCTTGTGTCATTGTGAATATTTTTCTTACACATGTTTCTTCATGCTCACATGCATGTAATTCCTCTGATCCAGGTTGATCTGACTACAGTTACTGCTGAGTGCCAACCACTCCAAAACAGAGACCAATGTTTGAACTTCTGATATGAGACCCTTTCCTTGGGGAAAGTGGCAAGCCAATTGTTGGTAGATTCCATTATGGGAATAGTAGTAGGAGTGGCATTTCTTTATGTGAGCAGATATGGATGCCAAACACAAATTTGTCTTTACTGTATACAATACCACTTATAGAATCACTACCTGTGGCTTGCAGAATGGCTTATTCATCACTTTGGTGGTCCACATAACATTATGCTGAGAATAATTCATTTTTTAAATAAAGAGTTGTATCAGTGTAATCATTCCCATGGAATTCATGGGATTTATTCCCTCACCCCAAAGCAAATGGTCTGGGAGAATAATGGGATAGATTATGCAAGATAAGTAATACTGCAAGCTGGACAAATACTTGCAAACTAGAGGCGCTGTCCTATAGCATGTTGTATATGCTTTAATAAGGATAATTTATGGTGCCATCTCCTTTCTAGTCAAATAATTTAGTCCTTCTAAGGGATGGGGCTAAAAATAAACCCTCTCAGTATTACAAGTCATAACTGAGGGACTTCAGGGCAGACCACCCCAGAATGTGCCACTTTGGCATATGAATTATTTAGAGCTAAAGATAATCAAGGCCCAGCAGACTAAGGAAGAACATTGAACCTTTCCTTTAATTCCCTAACAAAATTTAAATAGGGTACTTTTACAAGGAAGAGAGCTATCACCAAAAGTAACTTTTTATATCTGAAAGACTTGGCTTCATGGCCTGACAAACATTTGTTTACCTAACACCTGCTCTTCTCAGCTTCCTGTGAATTGGTTTCCTCCCGTTTGAGACCCCTGGCCTCTTATCCCCTCTTCCTTTCCCCTTACCTCAGGATGGTATATAAGCCTCAACTACGTGACTGCCAGGGAATTTTTCATGACTTTGTGGGGCCCCCATACACATAAAATTAAACTTATTTTTATTTGCTATTCTGTCTTAAATCTGTTTAACTACTAGCCCAGCCAAGGAACCTAGAAGGGGGGAAGAGAAACTTTTTTCTCCCCAACATAAATAACTTCCAGAATTTTTTTTTTATCCCCATAACTTCAGATTTGGCAGGCTGGAGATCCTAGTTCCCAACAGAGATCTACTTCTACTAGAAAACATAACCATGATTCCATTTAATTAAAATCTAAGATTTCCCCCCAATCATTATGGATAACTCACGCCATTTTCTTAACTAAAATGGTTAATCCTGATTATCAAGGGGAAATTGTGTTGCATTCACACAATGAAGGTTTTAAAATATGAAGTTAACTTATGACAAGACAGGAAAAGTTGCATATTTATCTCTGGAGATACTGAATGTATGGTTTTGATTCATGGACAATATAAGTGAAGTGGGCTTATCATGTGTCACTTAAAGTCTGAAATTTCCCTGGTGATCCCCAAAGTAAGTTTGCAACAGGCTTCAGAGGATAACAGACATCTCTTGGAAGTAAAAATTTAGATGGCAAAGAAATAAATAAAAAAGTCTTCATTTCATTAATAAAGGGAAATGCAAATTAAAATCACAGTGTCATATCATGGCTTACTTATAAATGTGTTAAGTGTAAAAATCTTTCAATATGGACAGTTAGTGAGGAGATAAAACAATGGAAGCTTCCATACCTTGAAGTTGAGAGTACAAATTGGGATCCTCCACTTTGGAAAATAGTTTGAAATTATCAAGCAAAGTTAAAGATAAACATGTCTTATGACTCAACAATTTTACCCTCAGGGATATATCCTAATGAAATTTATAATTCTGTCTGTGTGGCTCTGGATCTGCTAAAGAAGACTGTGTGCACATCACAACATAACAATTAAGAGACATAATGACCAATACAACAAGTTCTATGCCAGTGAGTGTATTGATGAAGATCATTTATGGGGCAACCCTCAAAACTGATATCCCTCAAACTGAACTAGAATATTCCCAGCCTCTAGCCTAATTCTCCCACTATGGATTTCTTAGGACATAGAATTCTATCTTTTCAGCTGTCTATCACCAAATAGCCACATACAATTTAGAACATGTAGAAGTTCATGAATATCCATTTAATGAATATATCTTTTATAATTATACACCATTATTCCCTGTTCTCTTTATTTTATTTCTAAATGTATTTCTAAATTCCTTAGGTGCCAGGGGTGAAAATCTTGATCATAATTTCTTATGGAGAATTTTCTGATCCATAGTTTACTAATATGAAAATTCAAATATTAAGAGTAAATGTGTCATAGATTTCACATAAAAAAGTTAATATAAGTTAATTATTTAGAACAGTAAATGCTAATGAGCTAAATCATGTCATTGTTATTATTTCAAGAACCATATCATCAAAATTATCTACAATCCCTGAGAAAATTTTATTACGCTTCTTTCATATTTCCTATGGTGTTTCAAAATCTGGTTCAATTTTAGAACTACCCAACTCAATAGTCTACCTCCCACTAACAGCTGAATTTTCAGATGAACCATTAAACAATTTTAAGTGTCAATTTTTTATCTGAAAATTTGACTATAGTAAGTATTTTATAAGGCTATCTTGATTATCAAATATAAATATAAGCACTTTTAAAAAGATGTAAATCTTACAAATTATAATAGTATCATCAATACATTTATTATTATATTTGAACTCAAAGGATTATGGAGAAAGGATTACTGTTCATATTCAACTTTACTCCCTCCTGATTATCTTTTTTAGACAATAATCTCCTTTTAATTGCATAAGAAGAAAATATGAACTATAATATGTTCTAAGACTACCAATGTTTAACCATCCTTTAAAAAAAAAAATCTTCAAAACTCGCTCCCTAATCTGCTTGGTCCTGACCCCATAAATTACAGGATTGAGGGCTGGTGGAACAACCACATATAGATTGGCTAAAAGAATGTGGATATATTGGGGGATGTTGTGGCCAAAACGGTGTGTCAAGAAAGAGAAAAACGCTGGTGTGAAAAAGGCTAAGATAACACCAATGTGGGAGCCACACGTGTTGAGGGCTTTGAGTCGAGATTCCCAGGAAGGCAGGAGAAAGACTGCATAGAGGATCCTGACATAGGAGACAATAATAAGGAGCACATCCAACAATAAGAGAGAAATGTTCCCCAGACCAAACATTATGTTGACTTTGATGCTGGCACAGGCCAGACGGGCAATGCCCATGTGCTCACAGTAGGTGTGAGGGATGATGTGATGCCCACAGAAGGGAAGCCTCAGGAGAAGAAACACCAGTGGGACCACCATGCACAGGCTCCGCAGAACAGTGATGCCCGCAATAGCGCCGATGATTTTGCTAGTGAGGATCATGGTGTACCGAAGGGGTTTACAAATGGCAACGTAGCGGTCAAAGGCCATGGCCACCAACACAATGCTCTCCATAGCAGTGAAGAAGTGGATGAAGAACATCTGGGAAAGGCAGCTTTCAAAGGATATGTCCCTGAGGCTAAACCAGAAGATGCCCAGCATTTTGGGGATGGTGGCCGTGGACAAGCCCAGGTCGATGGAGTCCAACATGGCCAGGAAGTAATACATGGGCTCATGGAGACTGTGCTCAGTCTGGATCACAAACATCACAGCAGCATTCCCCAGGAGAGCGACAAGATACAGAAAGAAAAAGGGGAACCCAATCAAGATGTGCACACCTTCTAGCCCTGGGATGCCCAGCAAAAGGAATGAAGAAGGACGGAGCTGGGTGCTGTTAGGAACGGACATTCTCTCTGCCACTATTGCTTATTGTGCATATCAGGGTTAGATGTCAAGCTCCCATTAGTGATTCTTGCTCCACTTCCTTTTTTGCCAGACTCCTGGTAAAATGCAAAATAACTTTTTAATATTCATCTTCTCTCACTCAGTATTATCAAAACTTTTGTGTCATCCTTACCTGAACATCAGATGACTCCTGATATAGAGCCAGTCTCACTTTATTAATTCCTACTGATGAAAAGTTAAACAAGAAGAGAGGGGAGAAGATCATTCCCACTCATAAAAAGTTGAACAGGAAGAGAGGAGAGCATATCCATCAGGTTGATATTCAAGGTATAAAGTAAATAATAAAAGTTTTTGTTCTTTGTATCTGGTGGTGTTATATACATTGCATTTAATGTACATAAAAAATACTTTAGCATATGTAATCCAACCCATTCTCTTACTGGGAAACTTGAGGACCAATTATATATGTACATATGTTTGACTGTGCATATACCTTTGACTATTTGATTCTGAAATCAGAGGCCACAAATTTTGTTTATTCACGCACCTAAAACTATTTTACACATACAAATTGTCAGAAAAAAAAATGGTTGTTAAATAAATTGGTTAGAGAAAGGTCACTACAAGAACCAACATGCCCCAAATAGTAACATAATTTCCATTTTAACTAGGTCTTCCAAAAGTCATCTTCATTCAAAATATTTTGGGTCATGAATAAAGACAAGAAAATGGAGACATGTTATACAGGGGTTTTTTAAGTTAGAGTAAAACTGGATTTATAAAATATTTAAATTGAAGTATTCTTGTTTTCCACTGAATACACAAAATTTTAAATTAATTTTAGAAGCTGTCTTGGAAAGTTGAATCAGGAATAACTAAAGAATTTCTGTTTTTTTCTACCCTACTCAAATCCTAATTATACACAGCAAAGGGACTTTTTCTTTGGATACCCTTGAGATTAGAGTCCAACAAAGCTGTCCTCTACCCCAATCTTAATGTTTATTTGATGTTTCTTTTTAAGCAATAAATACACAGGAACTTATTAAATGGTTTGTTATATAGTAACTAACTTGAGTGGCAAAATGCTGGATTAATTTATCCTGAATTAATTTTTTTTAATTAAAGTTTATTTGGGTGACAATTTTTAGCAAAGTTGCATAGATTACAGGTGTACAATTCTGTAATAAATCATCTATATATCACATTGTGTGTTCGCCTCCCAGAGTCAGTTCTCTTTCCATCACCATTAATGTTGCAATATGCTAGAAAAATACAGAAAATTACTGTGTGTATTGATTGGGACCAAAGAAACTATGGAAGAGACAAAAATAGATCAAAAAGAACTATATTTTTATGAAGAAGCATAGCCAGTTTATTGCAGGTAGGAACTCATGTGTGTTTTAAAAAAGGAATCAAAATGATCACAGGCTCTACCTTGTAGGCTGAGTTCATTGGTTTACCACCTAAGATTTGTTGTCTGTGCAACCTACTCCAGATTCTGGAGATTAGTGGCTCTACATTTAAGTGAAAAGTGTGGGTCACTCAAGTGACCTGGAGCATGAGGTTGTAGAATTATTATGGTTTTTATCTGCAGAAGAAAGCCTTTCCTACTCTTACCTTTGATTTTCCAGGAGCATTACCCAGAATTGGGACCCTCCTAAATGCTTAAACAACCATATTTCCAAATCAGTTACTAATGAGCATATCATCCACGTACTTATTCATTTCATAAGTATAAACTGATCTAGTCCATCAATACATATTATTTATAGATCCTCAAATCTTTGCTAGGTACAGTGATAAGACTGGGCCCCAACCTCTCCTCTTTGAAGCCACGATATTTAATATCCTTAAATGAACTTACATCAGACAGCCATTTTCTCAGTTCTGCATCATGTGACTTGTTACTCTACCCTATTCCACAACCTCCACCCACCCACTCACCTTGCCTCATGTACATTAGCACCATTTCATGTCTTGTAACTGATAAAGGTAATAAGAAAGATTCTTTATACCAGTGGCTTGCAGCAGGGATAATTTTTACCCTAGGGCATATTTGGCAATGTCGAGAAACATTTTTCATTGCCACAACTTGGGGGAAGTGCTACTAGTGTCTAGTAGATAGATGGTAGGGATGCTGCTAAATAGCCTACAATGCATAGGACAGTGCCCCCAGAACAAAGAATTATCTGGCCCAAAATATCAGTAGTGCCAAACTTGAGAAACTCTGCTCTCCATTTTTCATCTTATCTCTGCCTGATTCCCAGCCCCATAGTATGCTACTATGAAATGGCCTGAACTATCCATATGTTATCCCATTTCTCACCTACCTGCTCACTTTGGTCTTGGGTCCTATTAAAAATAAAACAAAACAAAATGAAATAAACTCTATCAGTATTCATAGTTATGCTTCATGATTTATTCATTCTTGAATTTCTTTATTCAAAAACATACATATTTATCTCATTTACTGGGCCTGGAAATGTGCTAAGTGCCAGGAAAACATAGTCCTTGTTCTCTGGATATTCACATTTGGTTCCTAGTATATAAGGTGAAAAAAGTAGCTGAGCTAATACAGAGTTTTCTTCTGTACCTCACCTGTGGCTGAATGTGTAGGACTATGGATGCAAAGATATAATGATAGCTGATGATAAATAGATAGATAGATGATAGATAGATAGATAGATAATAGATAGATAGATAATAGATAGGGAAAGGTATGTAGCCATAATAGCTTATGGGTATAAAATTTGTTATGCTCAAAGCTTATCCATGTGTTCTCTTTATCCTTTTCCCAACTCTGTATTATACACTTATTTTTCTTTTCTTTCCCTATTCTAGCTTAGCATGAACTCACTCCCCATTTCCCATACTATTTCCCACAGCCCTAACCATGGATAAAACATTCTTACCTTGCTTTCCAAATGTTTCTGAGAGAACTGACTTTGAAAACATCATCTGACAACTTGCTGAGTCCACACTTTGTTAGGCAAAGAATAGGCATTTATATTGGTTCAGTATCACTGCTTCCAATGGGATGGGGACTGTAGTCTCCCTGGTTATTGTCATAGACTAAGTGATAGTCACCAGAGACTTCTCCTAAGAAAACTCACTCCCTATATTGGAACTATGGGGCAAGAGTCATCTGCTCTTTCTTTCCTAATAAGACTCTGTATCTTTTCTGCTTTCCAAATTAACAGCCTGAATTCCTGATTAACACCTGAGCTACTAAAATGATTATCTGTCATCTTCCATAATGACATGTCCCATCAGTGCTCCCTTGCTCTTTTTGTTCTACATCATCTCTCATGGCTTAAATCTAACATGTCTATGATTCCTTTGCCCTACTCCTCATGGACTATTTAGGTGAAAGACCAGATTAGGCAGCCAAGATCTGAGGAGCCAAGATTCTGGAGAGAGGGAAGCTCAATAAGGTGAGCCTAGCTTCTACTCATCGTTACATCACCAGTTGTTTAATAATTATGTGAGCAGGCAAAGAAGCTGATGAAAGGGCAGAGAAGCCACTCACACACAAGGAAACTTGCAGAGTTTAGCTCCAAACAACAGTCTTAGCTGAGCTTATCCATCTATCATCCCAGCCTGGGCTCCAGATATACAAGTGAAGAGATTAGTTTTGGATCGCCTGTTGCAGTCTTCAAGTTCTTTAAATCAATCTCACCCATTTGAGCAACCCCAACAGAGACTCTAGGTTTTATAGAGAAAATAAGAGCCTTCCCTGGTATGGTTTTCTGAGTTTCTGACCAATAGAAGCTGTAAACATAATAAAATATTTGATTTGTTGTTTTGCACCATTAATTTTGGGGTGCTTTATATACAAGATGAAATACTGCCATTTATGACAACATGGACCTTGAGATTATCATACTAAGGAAAATAAATCATACAGACAAAAGTCAAAACCATATGATTTCACTCATATGTGTGATATAAACTGAAAGCAATAGACAAACAAGACAAACAAAAACTCATAGGCACAGACAACAGTTTGGTGGTTACCAGAGGGAAAGCAAACAGGGGTAAAAAGGGAGTCAAATATATGGTGATAGAAGGAGAATCAACTCTGGGAGGTGAACACAGGATGCAATAAACCATTGAGGTATTATAGAATTGTACACTTGAAACCTGTCTAGTTTTACTAACCAATGTCTCCCCAATACATTTAATAAAAAATGAAAACCAAGAGAACATTAGGATCCATTTTAATAAAACCCAAAACATGTGCATTGATTAGGGAGCCATACATAGAGAGAAAGGTTAATGGGCCTTAAGGAGGCTGAAGGTGAAGGCAGTAGAAAAGCGAGAAGAGTGAGAAAGAATTGAAAACTTAAGTAAAGGGGATCTTTTCTATACAGAAATAGAATGTGTGGCCAAACCGTTGCCTTCAGTAACATGGAAATCAGAAAATATTTATAATGAACTATGGATTTGGGCTAAAGAGATTTCTAGGCAGAAGGTCAAAAGTGTCAAATGGGTTTGTTTTGGTTTTTTATCTATGTATAAAAAAATTGGATGAGATGAGTTAAAATGAGATTATTCTGTCTTCAATCAAAATTTTGAGGAAAAATAAAAAAGCCAAAACTTGCTAGTTTTTAACATCAAGTTGATTTTCATTCTCACCCCCTCCTCACTGCAAAACATTCTCAAAATAAGCAACAGTTCCAAGGCAAATATCAAATTATTAGGTTGGTGCAAAAGTAATTTTGGATTTTGCATTGTTGAAATTTGCCTTTGATATTGGAATACATTCTTAAATAAATGTAGTAATGTTATATATCACTTTAATACACATTTCTCTATTTTTTTGCTAATAACTTATTACTTGCTGTTTATTTTATATGTATTTTAAACCATGGAAATAATGTTAGACAAAAAGAAAATTCGAGTGATTTCTTATTTGAGTTCAAAATGGGTCATAAAGCAGCGGAGACAACTGACAACATCAACAACGCATTTTGGCCCTGGAACTGCTAACGATCGTACAGTGCAAT